CATTAGAGGGTACCATTTAAAATATTTATAACCTATCAACATTTTACCCATAAAGACGTAAATAATATTATATTATCTACAATTTTCATAAAAATCGTATACAAATAAAATATTGTTAATTTACATGATAAGTATTAGAAAAATACAATAACATTTTTTTACACAATTTCGTTTTATATTATTTCTATTTTGATAATAATTTCAACGAGCGTAATTACTAATTATTAAACCTATACTAAAAGCAAAATAATTATTTGTCAAATATACACCTATTTGAGTGTAGGGTATATAAATTTGTAATTAATAACGTAAAATTTACTTTGAATTTTAAAATTTTGTTTCAACTTTAACGTTTTTATAAGGGCTCCTTCCGGTATAAATGATTGAACATATGAGAAATTTGAGCAGTGTTATCGGCAGATTAAAAAGATAAAAGTTGAAAATAAATATCAGTATATTATGTGGAAAGGGTATGACGAAATCACGTTATTTTCGTAAATTTCTTCGGTTTTTTTTAATTATTACGAAAATCAAAAACGCTCTCTCTAATTTCAGTTAAAGATACTTCAATTGAAAATTAGAGGAAGATTTGTGGTAGGAAAAGTTATTGATATAGACGGAATAATAATTTATAGAAATTGAAATTTTAAAAAAAGCTAATATACTGAGGATAAATGTAACACTGTTGTAGGTGGGAAGTTGAGAAGGAAGAATAACAAAAGCTATTTAATTTTTATTTGGGAACAATGATGATAAACCACCGCGAACGAAATACGATTTTGAATGAAATAATTACGCTCAACATTATAGATTCAGAGTGGAGCGAAGAACCTTATGTTTTTATAAAGATGTTAATTTATTTTTCTGTGGACAAATTTTCTACCAGAGATCTTGCTCCTATTTTTAATTTAACACCTTTTCTAAAAAGAAATTGGTGTGAGGAGGTATTTCAAGCGAATCATTTTTCGATTTTCTCTAGGAGTTTTCTCATCAAATGTGAAAAACCGAAAAAAAAAAAAAATGTTTAGTTAAAATATTTCGTTCTTTTTTTTCCTGTGAGCAACTTTTCTACCAGCAATTTTGCTCTGATTTACAACGATAACAATTTTTCTAAAAGGGAATCTGACTAAAAAGGTATTTTAAGAAGATTATTTTTCGATTTTTCTAAAAGTTTTCCCAGGAAATATGAAAAACCGGGGAAAACATGGGAAAACAAGGAAAAAGTAGGAAACCGGGAAAATAGGTACAATATTAAACAAATAGTATTGAAGAAAATATATAATACATATGTTATTACTTTACCATTATATGACATATATATTGTTGACAAAGTAACACTATCAACCGAACTCCAATCAGAATCGTTTTCTTGTTTGAAATGGTTAATCGTTGCGTACATCTGTACGATATACATTAAATATACCTTTTACTACCATCCTAACTTCTTACCTGTGAAAGTTGCTGCATTCGTCTCTATTATTCTAGGACGGCTATTTTTCCTACTTTTTTCTATTTATTTTATCTCCGATTGAAAAAAGATAATTGTAATAAATATTAGTTTGAAATTTGAATTGACACAATATGTACGTTTAGATCTGTGAATTTAATTTTTATCTAAGTCTGATTTTGTTGTATCCTGTCCGTATATGTCCTGGATTCCGACAGCGAATTGTTGAAATTGATATAATTATAGTTTCCTTAAAAGTCCAGTGAAGACGATGAGCTCTGTTCAAGTTTCTTTGAATATATACGACTTATACGAGTATTATAGTTACTTTGATATTCTCAATACTAATATATTATCATTCTTATTATTATAAATGTAATAATAATAATAATAATAATAATAATAACATAATAATAACAATAAAAGTATAATCAGGAGGTTCAGACCATTATTTGTTTTCGTAAGTTATATTTTTTAAAAAAATCGAACCATTTTCAAGTGTGGGATACAAATTTTACAATATACATATATTGTAAAATAAGTAAAACAAAATCAATTCTCTTTAATTTTGAATTGAACCCACCTCCTTTCTGCAGTAATACATTTATTAAAACTTTTCATAATGCAGTGTGTACAGTGTAGGTATCTATATTGGAATTTAAGTTTTAATAAAACTGACTAATACATACTTATTGTGGAAGCCAATTATTTTCCTCGGTATTTTTTGTCCGGCTAATGCGGCATATATTGTGTTTCCTCTTATATTATCTGAATGTAATTGAAATTTATATAAATAAGAGTATATATATATTTTTTTTACCCAAATCCTAATCTTAAATAGATTACTTTCGTATAGGCTCTGACCTAGTTCTAAATAAATGATAGTTTTTCTATACTTAATAGCAGGGGTTAATAATAATCAATATACTTTAGTTAATCCGGGAATCTGAACAAAGAAATAGATATGTACAAGTTTATTTCGTACAAATTTTCTGTACAAAATTATACCTACTCTAAATATTATTTATGTTTCCAATAATACAGATTATCATAATCTAGCGATTTTCTTGGAGAATTTTTAGTAAATTTGATTTCCATTTTATTACCTATCAAAATATTCTATCGGTCATTTGGTACAAATAAATACAACAAAACAGGTATCTTTGTATACTTTCTATTTTAAAATTTGTATTTCAACCTTTGTATACTACTGTAATAAGTATCCACTAAATAGTATTATCAAATAAAAGTTTCTTTTCGAATGAAGTCAATGAAGAAATCGTTGATGATTCTGGTCACTCTTTTGTTTATCAACACCCGTCATTTTATTTAAGTGTCCAAAATCTAATACCAACCCCATTAACATCTGTTTAAAATCCAATAGTTAATATCTATGAAAGAAAACAAACATACCTAATAGAATATGTTCCAAGAAAAATTACCATTAAACCACGAAAGAAAAAAGACGATCATTACGAACGATTTTAATCTTTTTAAGATAATCGATGGTGAAAGCTTTAGACATAAAGGTTCATATTTTAAATCCTTTATATGACATTCTGAACCATCATAGATTGTCTATTGTTTACCAGGAGCATCATTTCGATTATTAAATAAGGATGCGAATATTTGAATATAGCCGATTTTACTATTGTTTTACCCATCGGGCCCATTTTATATACGCTGTTTATTTTGAGAACTGAACAAATTTTCCTTCCGTTTCTTATTCGCATTCCCAATTTAGATCTGATTGTTCAAAATATATGGACAATTAATATTTTGTTTGGAAAAATAATTTATGATCTAAATTTCAATATTTGGCATTAAAATAACGTTGATACTAATGGATCTTACTGGAACTCAACGCCGAATTTGATTGAACGTTTGGTTGAACTCGAAATTTTGATTTGTGGAACTCTTGGACAGTACTCCGAAAGTCTTTCGGAGTATTTTTTTTTTTTGAGTCCTTTTGGTGAAAGGACTTACATCGGAGAAGTGAAAAACCAAAGAAATAATTGTAGTGTTAGGTCCGTTTGAAGAGGCAACGAAAGCTGTAAGTTGAGGCAAATACATTACAGCGTCTATGGCAACGGTCACCACTAGGATTCTGAAAAGGACCAAAAATAATTTTTGAAAATAAATTGCGGGCCGCGTAAAGTAAATTAATTCAAATTTTTTTTTGCAATTTTGACCTGAACAAAATATTTTTGTTAGCGTAATTTTTAATAAATAAATCCTTGTTCGTACCTACGTAATTATTTATCTAAGGTAAAACATCGGTTATTTAGACAAAATTAAAAATCGACAGATAAAATAAACAAGAATAATAAGATAAGATAAATAAAAGGTATAATTGCATGCATTTCATTTTATTTACTCTTTAAATGTGTAGAACGTTGGTTTTAGACATTTTAGTACGGGCCGCGTAGTGGAGACCGCTGGTCAATAGTGATTGTATTAGCGCAAGGACTTAAAAACATATGCCACGAACTGCAAAATCAAAATTATCAAACTAGAATTAACGATGTTCTAATCAAATTATTATTCGGAGTGTAAGATAGAGATCACGGGGGTAACGTTATTAATAATAGGACTCTATATATTTTTTTTTTATAGCTTGTTGTATATTCCTTGATCTACGATACAAATAGCACATTCCGTTTACAAAAAATTTACTATAAACATTCAAAATTGAGAATACAGAACTATCTGTATTAATAATAAGATTCAATACAAAGCATACATGAGGTACAACTTACTTTACCTTCAATTTGGAGTTCAATTGATACAAAAGTGGCCCAAATTCAACCATTGTAGACCAATACATAATTGTAGAGGTACACATATTATAACAGAGGTTTATTTTTAAATACTTGATTATAGTTATTTTTAGTGTTTACATATTTTGTTGACTGAAAAACCAAAACAAATTTTACTCAAATAAATATTGAAATCTTCGTATATAATCACTGGACCGTGATAAAAAAAGCTGTCCCAGGATAATGGCAACGGGTGCAGCCACTGTTATAGGTGAGAAGTTGGAAAGGTAGTAGAGGGGAAATTTAATAATAAATCTGTACGCAACGATTAACCATTGCTAAAGAAACAACGATTATGAGCGGAGATCGGTTAATTGTGTTGCTTGGTCAACAATATATATTTCATATTTTGGTAAAATAATTACATATGCATTATATATTTTCTTTAATAATATTTTATTAATATTGCATCTATTTTCCCGTTTTTTCCCATGTCTTTTTTCCTTTTTTTTCCCCATTAATTGGTGAAACTAAAATTATGATATTAATTCTAATCTGTTTGAGAAATATTTTTATTAATAATGGTTTAGAAAAATGATATCAAATGACAAAAATAAATAAAATAAACGAAAATCCAAATTAATTATACTGATAAGTTTATTTTATTAGAGTAACCATAAAATCCCAAAACTATAAAATTATTTATTTACAAAGTGAGTTTTAATAATCATGATAAATAAATAAATATATAAATATATATGTATATATATATATATATATATAAATATAAATATAATTTTGTGATTTCTAACATATCATTTTTTTTTTTCGGAGATGGTCGATTTTATTTATATTTTTAGTATCGATTTCGATATTCTGTATCACAAGTTTATACTTTTTTCACGACGATACATCATATTTAGATATTATAGTACCTACAAAATGTAAAACCTGTTTATTTTATATCTGCTTTGTATACTTGAAATAATAGGTAATATGAATAACCAAGATATAATTAAAATACGTTTTTCAACACATGAGAAAGCTACACATATGTAAAGAAAAAAAAAATATTTTGTCCAGATTTCATAGTATCGAGGGAAAAACAAGAACTATCGAAATCGAAACTTTTTGGTATCGTTCATCTCCATTCTTCGTTTATTTTTTTCGAATACTTCTTGTATTTTAAGTATTTGGTGTGATTTCCACTGTTTTAACGCTGCTGTAGTTGACGACCACCGCTAATAATATAAATATGGCTCCCATCCCTACTATTACGTATTTGGCATATTTGACAATAGTAATCGGCAAATATAGTTTATTTTTTATCTGACCGGTCCACGTCTTGTTTAACGCGACTCCCTGTAATTAAATAATAGCAATATAAAATAAATTATAATAATAGTTTAAGTAATTAATAATAATGTGTGTTAAAATTGTGTTATTAATTCGTTAGACAGATACTAGCAGCGAATGTATTATTCATTAAGTATTATTAACCCTCCTTCCTCCGATAAATATACAAAATAATATTGAAATTTATTGAAATATTTTTTACCTCTTCGACCCAGAACATCGGTATGAGCTTCTCTTCTGTATTGAGCGTTTTCATCGTCGATATCTTTGGTTCTTTTTTCAAAAACATATTGAATTGCAAACGCTTGTAACCCACCAACGGCGCACCGGTCATCTGAAAAAAATTCTCATTCAATTCTCATGTAGTAGTATGTTCGAATTTAGTTTAAAAAAAATAAGTTATTGTTATTGATAAGGCACTTCTTTGCTAAAATTTATTTTCTCTGTCTCTCATACGAAATATATAGTCTCAAAGACATTCCATATTTTCATTCGACATTTTATGAAAAATAAAATTGGGTTCTATGAAAGATTTTTTTTTAATATTTATATTTTTTGTCACCGTAATATGCTTGCTTTAATTTTCTATTAATTTTAACCATTACTAACTTATTAAGAAATGAAAATATTAAAAGGCAAAATATGTAGTATACATATATACTCTTTTCTTTATTAAATGCTCAATAATATGCCATTTGCCGTAAATTCAGACAGATAGAGAAATATAACCATAGCAATGATCATGAGCGGATTCACAGGGGGAGAGGTCATGAGATTTAATTCCCCCTCCCATTGGCCGTTTTATTTTTTCAATAAATTTGTTTTAAATTTGTAATGGATGCGAAAACGCATTGTCGCATCGTATAATTTATATTTACAATTACAATATAAACATATTAGTAGCACCAAAATATTATTGATAAATTATTAAAAATAAAATCTGCATTAAATTTTGCATTGTTATTTTTTTAGATTCTGATTTTAGATGAATGTATTGGTTTTACGAAAATGTTTTTTTTTTTTTTTTATGTGAACACTTTTTCTACCAGAAAGCTTACTCCAATTTCCAAGTATAGCACATTTTCTGAAAGGAATATTCTTTGAGTGATACTTTAGAAAGGTAATTTTTTGAAATTCTTATTCATATTCGAGATAATGAGGAAACCCCGGTTCTTTTTATTAAAAAAGATTGAGTGATTAAAAATAAGGTTGTCATTGGCAACCGTTTTTATTTATTTTTTGTTATTATTAAGTTTTTCTTATTTTAATTTTTTTTAAACAATTATTGTTATGAAAACGTGCAATTTTGTAATTATTTTACCATAAACAATGATTGTTTAAAAAAGATTATATAAAATAATAAAAGCTTAATAATAACAAAATATGAATAAAAACGATTGCCAATGACAACCTTATTTTTAATTTTACAACTTTTTCAACCTAAAGAACCGGGTTTTTCTCATTATTTCGAATATTAATGAGAATTTCAAAAAATGTCCTCTTTAAAGTATTACACAGAGAACATTTCTTTTCAGAAATAGTGCTATAATCGGATTATGATTTCTTGTAGAAAAAAAAAAAAAATTATTATTGTAAAACTAATATATTCCTCACACCACTCAGAATCCAAAATAATATTAAATTTCATAACTAGAGGCGTGTGCGCTGAGGGCCCCTTATTTTTTTTTTTAGAAATAACTCCCCCCGTTCCCTCATTGGAAATTCCTGAGAATGTCACTGACAAAGATAATAATATATTAATATAATAATCGGGGAGGAATAAAAATGCAAGTTGATATACTCACTGGTTCGAAATACATTTTAATCCCGTGTTTTTTCGGGTCGGGATTTAGTCCAGCTACGTCGTTTATGTAGTCATCTGATTTATAAAAGTGTGGAAAAGTAGCAATGATAGGAGAACCTGTGTATATTTTAATATTTAAGTAGGCATATTAACTACAATATTCGTTAAAAATGTAATTAAAACTTGCTAGATCTATAAGAAAAAAATGTATATTCAAAAATTAGTTTCAACTTTGAACGGACCTGTACAATTTGTCAAATCCAACGCCCCTTGTTTGAGACAATTTTTCGGATCCAAACAGTAACATTTTTCTTCCGGTTTCACAAGCATGGCCGTGTATTCGAATACTTTCAAACCGTTATACTCTGTTTCTTGTAAATAGTCCGGAGACAAAGATCTATAACGGTATAACCAATACTAATAAAATACTACAATATAAAATTAAATACTAAAATTATGCAGTAAGTAGAGCCAATAGTAAGGGATGGGAGGGTTTTTCTAATGTGTGTTTTTCCCCCCTCAAAAAACATTTTTGGTTAATAGAAATGTTCCAATTAGTTCAATTACTAAATTAGACTCTAATAGAGTTAAAATGTTATTAGAAATTAATTTTTATAAAAGTATGGAATTTTAAATTTATACCTATATTGAATATTTTTAAAATAAGTCTTAACATTTAATTTGTATATAATATCAATTCCGAATTCATATATCTAACCGCATTTTGAACAGAATGTTAAATGCAATTATATTTATTTCTACAGATTACAACCTAAATATAATAACAATCGAAAATACATAAACATTTTAATATCCCAATTCAATTTTTTTATAGTTATTTGATTTCAGGTTAACTCGAGGTGTTTCTCTTTAATTTCGACTATATTTGAGAACTTATTATGTGAAACAATACAAAAAATATCTAAAATCATCATTCTAAAATCAGTTGATAATTATTATGTCGTGTAGATTTTAGTATTTAAAAACGTATAAATTTGCTCAAATTCCAAAATTCACTAATTAATTGGTGATAATATTGTCAATTTGTTTGTGAGCTTTTGTATTAATCTATTTTTAAACGAATTTAATATTACAAATTTCTGATGGTTTTTTTCTCGATTTGATTTATACTATTTGATTTCTTTTACTATACTTATGCAATTATTATCCAAGTAAATATGCATCATTATTAAATAGTTATTTTTTCCGTTAATAGTATTTCAAATATTTAAATCATATTTTATGTATTGGGTACGTGTTACATTATAAATTATAATATTTTACGTTGGTAGATGTTATTAGGTAGGTATTATTTTATATTAATACAATGTTTTTTCTAATCATACCGACAAATGTCTCCACTAAAGCTCGACAAGTCAGTTTCCGGTGTGATAAACGGTGGAAATATCGTGGTATCCGTTCCATGGATACGGTTACATTCGTCTCCTGGCCATACGTCCAGTTTATGTTTACCGTTGAATCGGATAACCTGGCCGACGTCCATAGGCGTTTTGACGCCGCGGTTTACCGTGTAGCGATTAGACTCGATAGTTCCATTTTTCTGAACAAAATAAAAAATAAAAAAAAGGTAGACAGAAAATAACGAATAAATGACAAATATCAATGAAGAATTCAAAAATTGCCAGAACGTTTTGAAAAATGTTACCATGTCTAGAAAAGTTCCATAAAAGTATTTATTATTTTTTTTAATTTTCTTCGCCTTCAACTTCATCCCAATTATTTAGAGATTAGGGTCATCCTCGTTCTAAATTGTCACTTGACACAATCTCCTACCATATATACACTTATTACTGTTTCAGATTACTCTCTCCTCTTGAACTGTCTAAACTATCTTAGTCTATTTTCTCTTATTTTGTCTACTATCGAAGCCACACCTAAGCTTCATATTATGTACTCATCCCTTATTTTATATTCTCTCGTCACTTATCCACTTAAGCATTTTCATCTGTGCTAAACTAGTTTTCTGTTTTATTTTTTTGTCTACCACCAAACACTTCAACCCATTAACATAGTCAGTCTCACTATACTTTTGTAGAATTTAAATCTCATTGGAATTCTCTTGTCACATAAAACATCTGATGAATGCCACTTCTCTTCACTTTATCCAATCACAATTAACGATATTATTACGTTTAATATCTACACGAAAGCCACCGGTTTTTTTGTACAAAAGTTACTTAAAACACTTTACTTCGCTTATATCCGCTTGTCCTGTTTTTCCAAACTCATAATGTTTTACTTCTACTTATCTTTAGTCTCTTTGCTATCAATGCTACTTTCCATTCCTTAAGCCATTTTCAGTTTCCAACTTATTAGATATTTTGACCTATCAAAGCTATATCATCTACAAACATCGTACCTCCTCTCACCTGTTTTCCCCACGTACATCCAAGTTGGGAAAAATTGCCAAATTCTTGTTTAGGACTCCTCATACTGTTCGACAGAGTTTTCACCGGCTATCGACCTGATGCTATCCCATTTGTTTTCTCCTATGACAGGTAAAGGTACTGTGGGAGTATTCTGATACCTTCTCACAAGGAGAAAGTATTCTGTAAAAAATAATTTCAGAAAATGTTAGGTCTATAAATAGTTATAACCTAATTAAAAAAAAAAAATTGAAAATAATGAAATCGTTTTTTCCGTTCACTATAACTAAATTAAAGTATTTAAATAAAAAATAAAAAATTAGTAACTAAAAAAAAATAATAAACAATTAATTAATTATCTTCAATAATACTGAATATCAAAACCGGAAATAAAAACAGAAAAATTAAAAGTCAATTTAACTATCCAGATAAATAATTACTGTATTAAAATTACTAAATTATTATTTATCTAGATAAGACAAATATGTTTATTTAGATAACGTACAAGGTACAACGCTGCTTTTAGGATAATATGAAATCACATTTAGACTATAACAGAACACGATGATGAAAATTTGTTTTAAGGTAAGCAGCAGTACAAACATATTTGAAAAATTAATTCAGACAGTCCTAAAAAAACTGCGAGGGAAACGACGAAATTGACAATTGGGTTCCGAGCTTCACTCTCAATCGTTTTTCAAACACTAAATTAGGTATCGACAAAAACAAATAATAACTTTCACTATGCAATTATGTCCACATATTTTGTTGACGTACCACTCCGAATAATGAAAACTTGAAATGGTTTTCATTGATTTTATGCAGGCTTGCCGAGTTCTGTCTGATTTGCATGCAAACGGCGGCTGCTGCAAACTCGTTGGACGTGCAATTTATATCCAATCCGTTCCACATAATGTCGTTAGCGGTCGCCACCATGAACGGACCAGACTGATCCGGATATAACAGGGGTATGGCTTTATTGATCAAACCCAGTGCTGCCGGTTTCAACATCTTGGTCATCGTCACCATTCCCTGTGTTAAATATTTTGTTTTTTCAAAATTAATTTCATAAAATTAAACAAAAAAATGAAATATTATAATTTAAAAAATGCTAATGTCTCGCTTAAAAATTTTAATGTCGAAAAAATCTTAAATAATCGCAAAGATATAATGTTATTATCTTCAAGTTTGATAATAGATCAATTATTGGTTTTAATATTAAAATTAATAGTACAACCTTGGTCTTATTGAACTCAAATTTGCTAAATCGTGGGTTTATAAAACGGATACAGCACAATATACGGTTGTGGCATCCTTAGAAAGATTCAAATCTGTGTCTTAGCGTGTTTATAATATTTTAACAGCACCATCCATAAGTTTTAAATTAAAATAAATAAAAAACAAAAAGACCCGAAAGTCTACAAATAAATAAAGATAAAATTATTTTTAGTATTTTGTGAAATGTGTATAACACTACTATATAAATACAAATAATTAAAATGTCTTGCGCGAAACAGTTTATCCGTATACATTTTAGTTTATACTATGATATTATAGAAAAAATAATCGTCATAATTAAACGACAGAATACTTGAACATTTATTTGAAAGTAAGTTTGAGTATTTTTGATGTAATAAATTAGAATGTTTATAGCAAAAGCTATGAAAATTGCCTATAGGCAACTCCTAAAGATTATATCACGCGTTGATACGGGCAATACGGCCATACAAGTGACATTACTTTAGACAAAATTATGTTAGATTTTAAGTTTTACCATTGTTAATATTAATTTGCCAAGTTTAAAATGCTTAGAATAATATTTTGTCTTGTTTTTTTTTTTTATTACTTGTGTATATATAATACATACTATCATAGCTACATGAGGCATAACTATAATTTCGTCTCCGGTTAGCGGCATTGTCAACGATTCGTCAAAGATAAAAGTGTTTCTGAAACTAAACTCAATAGTATCTTTGTTTACGTCGTCCTCTAAATTTTCTTTTTCTTTCCATTCGCTAAATCATAAAATTCGCGGCATAATGGCGTCATAATAGTACGCAATATTATTTATTGTAACCAATTATTAATATATACATATATTATACAAGTAAATCACTCACTGATAGAAATAAGGTCCGACTTCTTTGAGTATGATTTTCTCTCCTTTCTGAGCTTCTTCGGGGTTAGTGACATTGAACAAATAAATTTTAAAATCTGCTGCTAACGGCGGATGTGACCACATTTGACGCATATTTGATCTTGGATTCAATGCTTTACTCTGGAATACGCATGCATTTAGAATTATGTTAAAACAATTTTCAATTGTACATTTATACATTTTTAAAAATACAATTTTATTTAAAATATTTTTGGTGTTTTTTTTTTGTATATCATATTATTATTTAATATTTTATTCGAATAAAACGCCTAAAGTTTTTAAAACTCTGCAATCAAACTATTCAACTCAATTAGTGGCAAGAGTTTATATATTATAGAAGTATAAAATATTTGCTGTTCATAATATATTATTCAGTTTTAGATTCTGAACAGCTCGAGGAAGTTATTCAATTTTACAAGTTTATACCGATAGCGAGGAGTAATCAGATTAATTGTAAGCAGAAGTTTGAACTGTAACTTCCAATCATTTAGAAACGATTTTGGAATTAATATTTTACTGTCGTTTTCAATTCTATTGTGATATTTTTTACTTAATTAAAATGCTAAAACCGCAAGTGGGATTAATATTTTTATTTTATCTCATCAACCACCACCCTGAAAAATTCAAGTGAGGTTGCATAATATAATATTTCAAAATGTTAGTGATCGAATTGATTTAGAGATTGGAATTGTTTTTTTTTTTTTTTAAGGCCAATAAAGGAACTAGATTAAGGGATTACAAATGAAATGTTAACGAAAAAGCGGCTTTGACTGTTGAATATAATGAAAAATGTAAATGTATTATATGAACGCTCGACAGAATGGTTAATTTATAAATAATGAAACGGAACGGACCTTCTTAAGGGCATAAAAACTCCGACAGCAAAGATACAAACAAAATTGTATGCTAATAAAAATATGGTAGTTAAATATGAAAAACAAAATAAAATTATATGTCCCTTAGCCATAAAAAAAAAAAATAATAATAATAAAAACAAGCCCATGGCGCTACTGCCTGAAGGCTTCGCAAGTTGATTCAAATAAATTTAATTTAAATTTTATGATTGTTGTATAAAGTAAAGCATAAATTAATATGTACGAGGGCGTACCCAAAAGAAACCGAACTGATGTTGTGTGGGACAGAGTTTTAGTAGAACCGATTTTTTTCAGGTAGGGGTGTAAAAATATACTTCTCAACATTCAATATACCAACGGCCGTCATCGTGGAAGGTTGTGTTACGTTGGTGTGATATTTTTTTTAAAAGTTATTTTTCGTACTCGTCGTTTTTGTAATGGCTGATTTGCGTGAACAGCGCGTGACCGTCAAGTTTTGCTTCCTGCTCGGGAAAACAGGCACAGAAACCCTTGAGATGTTTAAAACAGCTTACAAAGGTGATGCTTTAGGGAAAACTCAAGTATTTGAGTGGTTTTCCCGTTTTAAAAGTGGTGAAATGTCGATAGACGACCAAGATCGCTCTGAACGTCCTTCGACGGCACGAATCAACGAAAATGTAGAAAAAATTCACAAAATTATCCTGGAAGATCGACGGCAAACCATCAAAGAAGTAGTGAAGAGATCTGGTGTGACATGGAGTTTAGTACAGAGAATTTTAAGTGAAGATTTGGGGATGAGACGGGTGGCTGCAAAATTTGTTCCTCGACTGCTAACTGAACAGCAAAAACAAGGCCACGTGGAATCATGTTCTTCTTTGAAAGAATTCCAAAATTACCNAGACTCCAGCATCGCCTCGCCCTAAAAAAGCTCGTCAAGTGAGGTCAAACATTAAGACAATGCTCATTTGTTTTTTTGATGTGAGAGGAGTCGTCCATTCGGAGTTTGTTCCACCTGGTCAGACAGTTAACCAGGCATTTTACCTAAAGGTGTTAAAAAGATTACGCAACAGTTTGAGGCGAAAAAGATCTGATTTATGGCTGTCAGGAGACTGGTTTTTTCATCACGACAATGCTCCTGCTCACACAGCCCTTTCTGTACGGCGGTTTTTGACCAAAAATGATATGACCACTGTGTCCCATTCACCCTATTCACCCGACCTGTCTCCCTGTGACTTCTTTTTATTCCCCAGAATGAAAAGGAACACGAAAGAAAAGTGTTTCGCGGACATTGATGAAGTTAAAAAAAAAACGACGGAGGCGTTGGCAGGCATCACAAAAGATGAGTTTAAAAAGTGCTTCGAAAATTGGAACACAAGATTGGACAAGTGCATTAACTCCAACGGAGAGTACTTTGAAGGAGATTAAAAGTTTTTTGTACAAAAAGGAAATAAATAACTTTGTACAAAAATAGTTCGGTGTTTTTTGTGTACGCCCTTGTATGTGTATTAAAAGAAAAATATTTAAGTGTTTAGTAGGCTCTCGTCTGATGTACCATGGCGTGTACAGTTGTGGATGTATTTATAATATATTATACGAATATAATAACGAATTTAAATAAGTTTACCGTATATGTATATGCAAGTTTATTAAAATTCTACGATACAGTAAAAATGTCCATAAAATACTATTATTTTAAAAAATGACTTACTTAAAAACTTTTTATAATCATATGCATATTATAAAATGTTACATTGTCTTTATTTTATCACCCATATTTTTGAGGATGAAACGACTACCTACTTTTGATTTTTAAATGTCAACATATATTTAAAAAGTCCATAAACATATCTATTTATCGACTGCACCTAGTATTAATTTAAATGCAATTTTGTGTTGAAATTATTGATTTCTGTCGACCCGTTGACGCGATATTTCACTATTATAAGTTTGGGTAACGGCAAAGTAGTAGTGCACTATTCAAATGATGCTCTACTAGTTACTACTCTCTCCCCAACTAAACTTAAAAGCGGAATATCTCGGCAACGGGTTGACGGAAATAAACAATTTCAATATAAAAATGCATTTAAACTAAACTCCATCTATTAATGGACTTATTAATATATGTTGACATTTAAAAATCAAAATTAGGTAGTCGTGTCACACCCAAAATTTCGGTGATAAAATTAAGGAAAATGTAGCATTTTATAATATATGATTTCAAAACGTATTTACATCAGACATTTATTGAAAAATAAACATTTCATGGCAAACATAACTATATCATACAATTTTAATGACTATTGTATATTGATTGGCAATGCATTTTGATATTTCGATTCCGAACCGATGTCAATGTTTTGTAACTCGTCTGTTATTATTTGTAACTCGGTTTTCAGAACTTTAAGTTCTGAAATTTGGTCTCCATCTAAGCTTCAATGGTTATAATGATCAGTATATTAATTAATTATAACAGCTATCATTATGTAATAAATGGTTTTATGTATTGTGTAAAGTTAAGATTCGGGTAGGTACATCGTATAATTACAGAATATATAAAATATAAACCTATATAAATTCACACTGCTATTCCAGGCTAAATGGATAACACGAAGTATATTATTAGACGACGGCGTGTCTCAGTGTTTGTGCGTCGGCGTTTCGGTACGCGGAGTCGCGGGTTGAAATCACTAAGTGCGTACTTACGTATTTTTTTCATTTAATTTTCGATGTTTTCCACCGGTCACAATTACGTCATCGCGTCGCTGTGTCAATATATATTTAGTTTTATTATGATAGCGCCTACAGTATTTCTGTATTCAATACAATGTTACGTTTAATTGTAGAAGGTTTATCCTATAAACTTATGCTCTTCGCAATATATCTCAGTTCCAAATAGAATTATCCGAAGCTACGGAAAATTATTTTAATGAACTGAAAACACAACTATTAAATTTCGACGTATGTCTAATGTCACCAGACGAATTTGTAATAAAATAATTGGAAAATATTGATACTAAATAGCAACGTCAACTAATTAAAACAAATTGACACTTAAAAAACGATACAAAGACAGATCAATCATTTCAACAATTAGAGTCAGTTGAATCTGACGGGCAACTTGAAGAAGCGAAATAACAAGACAATGCACATGATTAACAGTACGAAGAACTTAATGGATCAACAAATTTTATTGGAAATTGGAATGGAAAAACAATCTGAAATAATATTTTTATTAAATATAATAACAAACTGGAAAATGTATACCAAAGAACAATGCACACGGATCTAGATAAAGAAATATGAAATAAATACATAAATAATAAAAGAAAAAAGAAAAACTCTTTCATCCAAAAACAATTTGTTAATAAATGGAAACAAATGCGCATCTATAATTGTATCAAGAAAACGTTTCTTGGTAAAAAAAAAACTGTGTGCTTTCGACACAGTTGCTGGTTTAAATAATGTTGTTTATACGGATATTTCCTGATACCAAAATTAAATACCAAAAACAAAAGTCATATTAATATAATTACTAGCTGTTCCGCATGCCCTCAGTGAGACATTTGGTGCTACGGGTTTATCGAATTTGAGGCCCAGAGTTCCCATACTGATAGAAATCGTATACAGATAGAAAAAAAAATCGTAACATAATAAAAACAATATATTTTGCTCAAAATTTAAAAATCACATTTATATTTATTATGCTTATTTAAATACTCTTTGTAGTCTGATGTTACCCGGTGTAAATTATTTTGTATAATTATAATATAATGTGGGTAGGTAGGTACGTATTTGGTATTATAATGGTATTATAAAATTGAATATTATGTTCATTATAAAATAATGAAGAGAGATTATTAAAATAATTGTCTTGGTGTAATAAATACATTTTATTTAACGAATTTACGTTAGAATCGTATATAAAAAAAATTGTATACCCATAGGCTATAATAGAATAATGCGTATTATAAAAATATATATGTCAGGATTTATATATTGTATAATTGGGAAAAAACAAGTCACATTTAATTTTTTTCATTTTTTAACTAAAGAACGCGAGAGAAGAATATATATTGTTAGGTTTTATTCAGAATAACATGCGTGTTGTATCTATACCTATACCTGACACTGCTTAGTGTAATAATAATATATTGTTGTGATAAAAATTATTAATACGAACAGTAGCTGCTGGAAGGCTAAAAATATCCATAAGATCCGTTATTTGAGTATTTTATATTTAATAATAAGTAGGGACCGGATTTATGTGCTCTGATAATTCACAAAGAAAGCTTCACAAATGCGCTAAAAAAAAAACCCTGAAAATAGCACTGTAAAAAAATTAAAAAATAAAAACGGTTAAGAGGGTTATAAAGTTCCCTATCTAACGGTCATTGATTATAAAATAAATTAATAGAACACCTGGAAAACTGTAAGAAAAACGGGAAAATAGGTTCAATATAAAAGAAATATTATTTTAAAGGAAATAAAAAATGCCTATGTAATTATTTTATCGTAATGTGACATATAATATTGTTGACAAAGCAACTCCGCTCAGAATCGGCTTTTTGGTAGCAATGTTTCATCATTACTAACAGATATACATTGAATTTCTCTTCTACCACCTTCCCAACCGAACCTAATCTAACATAACTTCATTTACAACAGTGGCTGCACCCACGTGCGAAGTAGCCCGGCTTTCCTTTTTAGTTTTATTTGGATAATATTGTTTTGGCAAAAAAAAAAAATGTTTGACATTTACTTGAATTTCATCGTAAAACAAGTTACTATCGACTTGGGTTAGTTCTTGTTATCTAGCTATACCTACAGTGTACAAGCCGGACATTTTTACCTCTGGGCATTTTTACTTCAGGACATTTTTTCTTCGGAAATTTTACGAACATTCATAGAATTATCAACACACATCAGATACTCAATATAACGAAAAAAAGTTTTTCGGAAATTGTTTTTTAGATAATTTAAAAAAAAAGTAGCTCTAAAATGTTATAAAATTGTTATTTTTTGTCATCTTTATTTTGAGGGGTGAAACCAATATTTAATTAAGTTTTTCTTTTCAAGTGACAACCTAAATTGACAACAATAAACAATAAACACACGAAGTTTTAGTTCAAATCAATTTTGGTGTTGACATTTTTAATTTCTGTCAATTTGTTGATGAAATATTCCACTTTTAATTTTCAGCGCAGTGGCGGTTTTTAGGAGGTGATGATGGTGACCTCCCTCCTTCTTTTATTTCTTGGTCAATTGTTAGGTATGTTCTATACGTAAACAACGATAGATCATTGCTAACAAAAATACGATTCTAAGCAAAGTTCAGTTGATAGTGATGCTTTGTCAACAATATATATTATATTGTGTTAAAAAAATTAAATAGGTATTGCCTATATATTTTCTTTAATAATATTTCTTTAATATTGTACCGATTTTCCCGTTTTTCCTATGTTTTTTCCAGTTTTTCACATTTGCTGGGAAACTCGGGAGAAAATCGAAAAAATTACCTCTTTACAGTACCTCCCCAACAAATATTTTTTTCAGAAAAGTTGCTACATTGTATACATCGGAATAAGATCTCTAGTATAAAAGTTGTTCACAGACAAACTAGTTTAAAAACCATAAGCTTCTTCGCTCCACTCAGAGTCTAAAATAAAAATTATGTGTAATTTATAATAGGACTATAGACAAATTTTATCCTTTATTTGATATATTATGTTAATATGATATGGGGCCCAACGAATTTAAAATCGCCCTCCTTTGATGTTTTATCAAAACCGCCAAGGTTTCAGCGGGGGTAGAGTTATGGATCACTATCAAAACGCTTCCACCACACAAATAATGCGCCGGCAGTTAATACAGGATTGATGGTCGTATATAATATATTTATAGATTTCAGTATTTCAGTATGTATAGGTAGTTATTATTCAGTGTATGAACATATTCACGATAATATTAGACATGCATTTTTATAATTATTATCTTCAGTATTGCCGGTTGATTGTATATTATAATAATATGTTATTGTCGATTTAATTTGTTAATAAAATGCAACGAACACAGTCGTGTAATGCACAGTTTTTCTCGGAGAAAATAAAATTCGTACTAAAAATATATATTATTCCGTTTGCGATAAACAGCTACTTCTTTATCGCGAATTCATTAAGACTTGAGAACAAGTGCAGGATACCCATGGCTTAAAAAAAAAATAAAAATATTTTAAGAGTACATTGCGTGTATGGAGTGTAACTCTATGGAATTGCCACTGAATTTTCTATGTCTTAGTCTAGACTTAGCTGTTCTACAGTTGCCCACAGTACACGATAAATTCTAGATAAATCAAATCCATTCCAACTGCAACATTTCGGAGATAAAACGGATGCGATTGTCGTCCCGCACTGTAGTTTCTGCGGGGGGGGGGGAAGAATTATCAGGTCATAATCGTTTCACCCGTTAATTCATGCTGTTCAAATACATTTTTAGTAACAACATTTGGCGAACTCTTCTCGTACCAATCCACGAGCGGTGCAAATCCTGGCCAATTTACGCGGTTGGTAGTTGATCATTAGTGTACTAACCTCTAAGATCTTGTTGTGTATCATTTTCGGGAAAGCGATCCATCCGACGAAAACGCCCAACGTCAAGAATATGATACCGGTCACGGTGAGCGTGGTCGTTGCCCCCATTTCGGGTATTTCTCAGCTAAGTGTCCAAGTATATTACAGGTAAGTGAATAGTTGGTTCGCGGTCGGGACGCTACAGCTGCCACCGCACCGCAAGTCAACGCGATGACCACTCCACAGCTGGGTAACCGCTCGGAAAAACACTCTCAGACCGCTGACCACGACCGCGGTTTAACAGTTCGACCGACTTACTGTTTGCGTTGTCGTCGTCGTCGTTCGAACCGATTCGGATATTCCTGATGAACAATAATTATTTCAAGGTTGTCGGCCCAGGTCGTGTACGTTTTTAAATGATCGCGTGGAATACGGTATTCGATGGATACGGTCGACGGCTCTTAATATACGAAAAAAAAAAATAATAATAATAATAATAAATAAATATTAGGTTCTCGGGCTGTGGCAGGTAACCCGTCATTATCGTCGTCCGCGTATATGATATAGGTAATATTATTATCATACTTTCGACCGCGGACAGTAACGACAACTCCGACGTTAATAAATTAATAAGTCGTGGTCGCCGCGGACCCGTGGCGATGAATTGGAACCCTGTGTGGGGGGGGGGTGGCTAAGAAGCGGGGAGGTAAAGCATGATCCCTCGCCGTGGACTTAATGTATACCTATATGTATATATACATAATATTTCCCTGTATTATTATTGCCGCCGTGTACAGGGTAGGTATGTATGTATAGGTATAATGCGTCATTAAATATATATACGACGGTGTGACGTTATACGCATATGCGATGACCGCATCACGCACGTGTCCTAAATATCTTGAGAAATAAAAAAGATTTTTCTTTCTTTTTTTACATTTATAATATACGTATAGAGTGTGATCTATGTAGATTACACTCTAAGTTATGTCACGTACGACACTGTTTATCTCAGAAAGTATTGACTTTTTGCGAATTTTTTTTTCCTCCAGCACATTTAAAACAGCTGTTACACTACCGTAATTTTTCGTTTCCCTTGTTTTAGGGAGTGAAATCATTATCGACGTTTTTTAATAACAACCTGTTATATTAGAAAATTGCATAAATCGATGGATTGTTGGTTTAAACAAATGTTGGCGTTGATTTATCAATTTTACCTGACGAGCTGATATTACATTTTTCAGTTGAATTGGAGAAGAGTATCATTTGTGTAACAGCGCGATGCGTTTCAATAGCGCTCTATTACTCTCCCTCTACCAACAAAACGGCAGTCTCAAAGTGGAATATCCCGTTAAAGGATTTTTATATTTCAATATCAAAATTTATTTAAACCAAAACTCCCTTTATTTTTTGAAATTTTTTAGTATAGTTTACTATTTTAAAAATTAAAATTCGACAGTAATTTTACCCTAAAAAATAACGGCATTGTAACATTCTAGACCTTCTTGCTTCTTCAATGTTCTAAAAAACAAATTCCAAAGAAATTGTCGAGACAACGAGTGACTTACGTTATGTAAGTAAATCACTCTGTATATATAATGTATTTGTAGCGTTTTATGCGCGGTAATGGCGAGTTGACAGGTAGGAGGTAAAGTTTATAGGTAAAGCACAGGTTACACTATTTAACTCCTTACCAGCAGTGTTGTATTAAAATCTGAAATTTTAAAATACCTAAATAATAATACGAGATGATTGGTAGAATAATTATCTAGATGAAGGTGAAAGATGCACAAAAATTTAATTATCTAGATCTTTACATCAGTACGTGGCCCTTTAACAAATGTCGCGCGGCTCGTACTAAAACGTCTAAAACTGAATTACACATTCTAAAATCTAACATTCTTCACTTTTAACGCTTAACTATATGCGTAATTTGTTTTTCAATTATTAATTTATCGTTATTTGATATGTCATAGAAAATAGAAATTTCCATCACATATATGACTATAATATGCGAATATTGTGAATATTTAATTTTACCTATTATATCTTGAAATTGCTTACAATAATCCGTAATTTGATAATGTATAAGTGTTTTTTTTTTTTGGTTACTTATAGGGGTGCTGATATTACGTTGTGCTCTGATTGACATAATTTGTTGATCGGGCACTGGTTATACATTATGAATTTCTTGTAAACAAACAAAGCATCAACGTGTCCGGTTTCAAACGGTTTTACATAAAATTATTTATGTACTAGGTACATTACTTTTCGAATTTCTTAAAACCAAATTTCAAAAAAAAAAAAAAATCAAAAGTACAAAAACGTCCAAGTTTTTATATTGTAGTATATTTTTCTATGTAATATGTAGGAGATGGAAAATATTGCAACATCATTATAATATTATCGTATATCGTTTATTGATAATTTGTTTTATTCAACGGAAATTTCACTGCATCGTTGCAAGTATCTCATATAACAAAAGATGAAAGTCGGTAGGTACATTAAAAACTAAAAACGCGTTTATACATACCGCGCGTGTTACCAGAAGTGCTAGTGTAGTATAAGTAAAAATATATACCGAACAATATTTTCCTCACATCCAATGACCTATATATGAATATAAAGTATCTGACGTAGTTAAAATTATTTTCATAGGAATTTCGATACTTATATTTTAATATTCAAATAAATTTAAATCGTTCAGTTTAAAAATAATAAAATAAAATTTATGCACTACCGTGTACGGACGCTGTACTTCATAATAAAAACATATTGTGTTATATAATACACAGACACCTCGAGGTAAGCATTATTATAATAACGAGTGTGTACAAAAAAAAAAAAGAAAAGAAAAATATACTCCTGATAGGTAGGTTACAAAGAGTTATTTAATGTACAGAGTGATTATTTTATCGTTGACCTAAACGTAGCATAGACTCGGTGGTGGTCAAAACATTCGATCGCGATCGAACGGTGTTCGCGGACGGTTTAAATGTCGATCTGTTTTTGTTAGAATTAATTTTCACATAATTAGTAGACAGATCACAATAAATTACCGATCACTTTTATCTGAATATATCATTATTTCGTTGTAAACTTATCAAATAATATAATTCAACAGCGTTTATACTGGCAATTGTATTTAAAATATTATCGGTCTTAATAAAAGTAGGACGAAAAACATTATTTGACAATACATTTTAGTTCATTATTTGCACACGTATGCTTGTGTTATTAATACCTATTAGTTAATTAATAATTACACATGTTTGTCAGGAAGTCGATCCTCAAAGGAAATATATATTCTTAGTATAGATTTCTACCACAAAAAGTTTGACCATCTCTGGTATAGACTTATTTAAAAATAAAAAAATCGTTTTGAAAATGTATAAAAAAATCATATCTAAATTTTGCATTACTATTATTTTTCATCGTGAAACGACTACCGACTTTTGATTTTCAAATAGTAATCTATGTTAAAAGTTCCATTTATAGTGATGTGATCGAAATTTTACAGCAATTTTCTTTTATAAATGTACAATTAAGAGAATAATGTATAATGCGGCATTTTTATTAAATAGTGAAAGCTCCAAATTTAAAGGTTCTTCTAGTGGGTGGGGGAAGGGGAATTCGGGATCAATTTTTTAAATTCAAAAGGCGACATGTATTAGAAATTCCATAGATAAATGGAGTATTTGTCCAAATGAATTTTGGTGTTGACATTTTTTTATTTCCATCAATCCGTTGACAGCCGTGCGTGTATTCTAACGATTTTTAAACACTCTACGCCTAAATAATATCGTCGTCGTCATTCGGAAGGTTACCGAATACGTTAAAAAATTAATATTTAAATGAAAAACGTCTTATTGTGTCTGGATCATATTTTAAAAAGTAATAACAAATCGGTTACCGATATATCGGTTCATTTCAATAATAACTCGTGGATTTTAATTTCATATTATGTCGGGCATAGGTTTTTTTTGCACCTACTCCGCGTGCCGGTTTCCTGACGGCTCCCTTATGTCAATCTTCGATTCAATTTTACACGGAGGCATGATCGAAATCCATATTATTGTCGTATGTATTATATTATTACATATTATTTTCCTCGCCGCGGCTATCCACTCGGTTTCCCGAATGTTCACTCTGTATACATTCTATAGGCATTAATTAATATTTCTATCCGCGGACAATATCGTATTTTTTAATTTTTTTTTTTTTCTATAATATTTTATGCTATACGATCATAATACTAGACGAGAATAAGTATATATATATATATATATATATATATATATATATATATATATGTATAAAGGGTGATTCACTAAGCGTGCTCACTCCATTTTAGATTCCGAGCCTAGCGAGGGAGCTATTGGTTTTACAATGCAGATTATTTCTTCTTTGTTCTAGTCTGTGGTCACGTTTTTTCCTGGTAAACTTGCTCCGATGTATAAGTTTAGTACCTTTTCTGAAAGCTCAAGTTGTTTAAAGTTTACTTTGAAGAAGTAATTTTTTGATTCTTGACGCCATTTTTCAAATAAAAGCACTTAAGTGGCAAAGAACGTGGGAAAACGTACAATTATTTTATAAAAAACGGACGACGTTTTCTACCAAAAAAAAATGATTAAATCGAAAAATTAAATGCCTTTTTTGCCCTTTTGATTTAATTTCTTATGATATCATCGCCAAAACTTTTGAGCCACTTTTCAACTTTTAAGGAATTTAAATTTTTATTTGCTGTAAATACACGCAGAGACCTGAAACTTGGTGATAATATTTATATTTGACTATCTACTAGACATGGTAAATTTTTTAAAACCATTGGACGACTTTTTGTTTTAATAACTGTTTTGAAATCAAATTTAAACGAGAATCGCAAAAAAAAAAAAAAAATTACGGCACTTTAAATTATGTGTTACCGAATTCACCACGTCTAGAAAAGACAAAGAGAAGTTTTCTGTCTAAATTTCAAGTCTCTACGTATATTTTTAACTGAATCATACCAAATAATAAAATTGAAAAATAATAGCTTTATTTTCGTATATTTCCCGTTTTTCATACATTTTATCCTGGGTTTTCACAAATATTATGAAAACCGCGTGGAAATCAAAAATTAACCTCCCAAAATTACCATTTCGACAACAATCCCTTTCAGAAATGGTGCCGCGAGTATATATCTGAGCAAGAATTCTGGTCGAATTTCTATACACAGTATAAAAAAAAAAAAAAAAAAAATAACAAACATCTCAGTAAAATTCTTCACTACACTCGGAATACATATAAAAAAAAATCTAACAAGAATAAGTTAGGATAACAATATTAATAAAATTCATGAATAATAGATGGCAAAGAATCGAAAAAATATTATATTAGATAAATTATTAATAGTATGACAAGCGCGATCAAGAGGGGCTAACCATAGTTAGTACTTGATTAGCATAAAATTTCGTTTTAAAAGTATGAGGACTTCTAGAATAAAAAGAAGAAACAATTAATGATAATTTGAAAAGTAAATCTGGGACATAAATTTAATTATTTAATAATTTATAAATAAAGGTTATATCAATCTCAACTCGTCTTTAGGTGAGAGATTTGAAACTATAAGGGTTAATTCCGCAATAAAATTAGCACATTTTTAAAAATTTGTTTTGTACATTATTTAACCGATCATTTATGAGATGACCAAATAATAGAAGCTTATTCGAGCACCGAACAAACTAAAGCCATGTAGAGGGTGTTTAATGCGTAAATATTAGAGAAACCAATAGTGTTACGGTTTATAAACACAAGCGTCTTCATTGATTTGTTACAAACATGGTTAATATGATTTTTAAATGATAGATTGGTAGCGAAAATAAAACCTAAATCTTTGATAGTAGAGATAGGGACTAGAGGGGTGAAATTAATAGAATAATGAAAGTTTATATGTGAATGTTTTCGAAAAAAAGATAAATAATTTGCATTTGTTAATATTTATATAATTAAGCCATTACATGAGCACCATATTTTTTGTAGGCTTTTATAAACCGTTCACAGTTATCACCAAGTTTATGAACCTTCTCGTGGCACCAAGCGCATTTAACGTTTTTCTCAATATTTTCCCGTGATTTCAATTTACGGAAATTTAGTGGAACAAATTTGCATGAATCTTGATAATTGAATTATAATTTATTTGACAAGTGTTCATAAAGGTATCAGATAATTAATGTTAACTTACTGATGGAATATTATTTCTACACCGTTCTTTAATGTTTGCCTTTACTTTAACATCTGCCACTGTTGCATTTAATGCAGACAGAGTGTTTTCCATAGTCGGCATTAAAGAGTTGTTATTCTTAATTGTACCTCGTGGAACATTTTTCATGCAATATAAATAGTATAACACAGTAAATATTAAAATATGCATTATTCTGTACAATATAGGAACTTGTATACTGTACCTTTTAAACTTAGAGAACAAAAAATATTTAAAGCACGGAATATTTTAATAACTGTTGGTATAATAACTAAAAAATGTAATTGTAATAGTATCAATATGATAAGGACATAATTATGAACAGATTTAACTATTTACCAAATTTTTTCGTTATTTTTTTTTGATATTGATCTAAAAATCACAACAATTTAAAAATATATTTTACTCCAAATATATTGATTAGCGTGTTTCTTATTTTTCAATTTAAATTTGTCTTCAGTCTCACCCTCTAAATTCATGTACGAGAATAAAAATAAATTACAGACAATTTTGGAACAATCTGTTAAGGTTAAGCCGTGACGACTTTAATTTGAAATTTGATTATATTAATATAATATCTACTCTCATTAATTACGGGCACTTTTACCATTTTTGTGAATTATATTTGCAAAATTGATATGATAGAGATTATACAAAATGTTATAAAATCCTAGCCTTATAATAGGTTTCTATTTAATTGGTTTATGTACTTTGTATAATAAAGTCAGAGTCTCGCAGAATGACCAAGAACACCTCTAACCAAGACCAAGACTGTTTCAGTCAAGGTTTTTTTTCTTTATTTAACTGAATTTAATCGAGTCAATTATTTTCATTATTTTACGTGCCTTTGATATCATATTTCGTCTTAAGTGCTGTCGAGTGTCGCGGCGCACACGTAGGTATTCAAATAAGAAATATACTCTGTGTGTATCGAACGTGTCAATAGACTTTTATTTATAGAAAAATAATTTAGAATCGTACATGGTCATAAATAAATTACATTATCGATAATAATATATTACATGTGAAATGTAGAGAACCGCAGTCGGCGGATCGTGCAGTCCGTCGCGGAGGCCGGCCATCTTAACGACGGTAGTGGTACAAGGGATGGGCCGGGGCGTAGACAGGGGCGCTGGCGACTACCGGGTGCGAGATGCTGACGCTGGAGTAAGACGTGGCTGCGGCCGGTGCGTGGTAGACGGCCGGCGCGTGGTAGACGGCCGGCGCGTGGTATACGGCCGGCGCGTGGTATACGGCCGGCGCGTGGTACACCTCGGCGGGGGCGTGGTACACGGCCGCCGGGGCGTGGTATACGGCTGGTGCGACGATCGGTGCGTGGTACGCAGTGGCTACAAACGAAACAATAACGTGTTATTTCAAAGAGCACACAAATCCGTACGAGCCATTTAGGTTAGGCGATTGGGAGGAGGAAAAAAAACCGGGATGAATCGTGAAAATATAGCTTTAAGGAAGCTGTATTGTATGATTCGCCGTGTGGTTGCGACAGGTCGCGGTGAGCCGCGAGGTTCGTTCGGTATACCTCACCTGAACCGCGCACGTTTCACGACCGTAGCCGGTGTCGGTGTCGTGATTCGACATTATAACAGTGCTTACCGTAGATGGCGCGCTTGTCCTTGGGGGTCTCGGTCTTGTCGGCCGGGACGGGGGTTGCGACGGCGGCGGCGACGAGCATGAAAGCGATCAACACCTGGGAACATTTAAAAGAAACACAAAATCGTAAAAAAACCTGAGCGAAAAAAAAGCGACTGTGCGGTAAAGCTGTTAAGCGGCCGCTTACTGTGAACTGCATGGCGATTGTCGGTGATGGTTTTCGGGTTTTCGGCGGAGAAATAAAACGTAACGATTGTCTTGCGCTGTCTTGGACGGAGACGGACGGATGACTGATGACTCTGGACACCGAGCCGACGGCTTATATACCCGCGCGCCGGGACGACACGGACGACGCGACGACGGTCCGCCGCGCGGCTCCCCCCACGCGCCGCCGGCCACGGTTTCGCAAAGTCCGTTCGGTCGCCGAAAAAGGACCGACGAAGAGAGATGACGGTGCAAACGCCGCGGCGATATAAGTGTAAGGCCGCCGTCGCCGGGAGTCCGCGTTGACGTAAGGCGCGAAACGCCGTCGTCGCCGCAACACCGGTTTCGCCGACCTTGCCGTCTTGTCTCTTCGCCGACCGCTCCGGAGCGGACCGACGCGACTCGCACTGTAATGCCGCCGCCGCCGTCTGACGCTCCTCCGCGTTACACTTTGGTCAACGACTGCCACAGTGCGGTACTTGTACGCTCGCCGCGCTCCGTAGCCTGTCGCGGAGTTTTGGAATTTTTTTTTTTTGTGAATTCTCAGCGAATTTCATTTTTTCCTTCGCGGATTCTTAACGGCGATCCGTTCGTCGCCGGCAATTTTCTTCTTCTCGCGTTTCCCGCGACGCAGCATAACGTCGTCTAATCATACGCACGTGTCCGGGATAATAACACCGTAGAGAACAGTCGACAGACGGCCGTTAATCGTTCTATCGCAGCGGCGGCGCATTTAGGAATTCGCCAAAACGGGGATGTATTGCGTTTTGGAAATTGTTTTGTATATTCTATTGTCACTATTGAACCCAGGCCAAAAACATACGCTCAATTAATTATTACGAAATTACAGTGTTTTCGTAAGTAAATTAAAAATTCAATCAGCCCTGTGAATTATTATCATTGGATATCGAATAACAAGGTGTTAGTAATTGGTATAGGTTTATTTGTACCGTTTATAATTACTAATCCGTTAATAATATTCAAATTTCCTTCGGTTATTATAGTAGTAGGACAAGAAGCATTTATTGTTCGGATAGTTTTCGTTTTAACATGGAAAATTATTCATATACGTTCGGGATTCGTTGACAACAAAATGCGCTTTCGAGTTTTCCGGCTGAAACTTCGAAGAAATTCAAATTGAAACAAATAGACAGTCGTATAAAATCATAGGCAGGTGTTAAAAAAATGATTAATGCCGCGTAAAAAAAAGTTTAGATATTCTAGCCGAATGGGATGCTGCAGGGACGATTGTTTTAGTAACGTCGCGTATTTCAGATACAGGTACATCAATAGATAGATTTAAATTCCCTCGACAAAAAAAAAAAAATCACTCATCGGATACAATACGCACGCGTATTTTATACGTTTTAGTAGTTTTCGTTAGCTGCATTTCAATAGACAATTCCAAATATTATCCCGAGAACTCTTTAATTTACTAATGTTTGCCTAAACGGGTTTTTCGGTACCTACTTATCATCAGTATCAACAATAACTGCGAACACAATATTATCCTAATATTTACGAATCGCGTTTTATTTTTCGGATGCTCAACAGGACAGTACATTCCAAAATACATATTATGCAATACGAGATTTGCGCAACGATTTATTGTTTGAAATGATTTAAATGATATTTTTCTACCAGAGTTCCATGTCGAAATTTTAAGAATAGCATATTTTCTGAAAGAAAGTTGTGTGTAGTTTATGAATAATAATGTCATTATTATCGATTGTTTTTCTAATAACTACGAAAAATTGGGGAAAAAACGTGGGAAATACGGCAAAGTGTACGGCATTTGGTTGTTTTGTTGTTATTCGGTCAAAAATTATCATAGAAACCTATAGTTTTCATTTAATTTTTAATTTAATTAATTCACTTACTATTGACCTTTTGTAGACGTGGTAAGATTGTCAAAACGTTATAATCATTGTTAAGTATGTTTGATATATTCGTGTTTTTATTTGTTATTTTATTGGTATTTTTATTTGGTATGTGTGACTGTTATTAAAATCATATGGCTAAAGAGAAATGCTTGAAAATTGAACACAAGGTACATTATAGGTTTTGGTTAATGGTCTAAAAAATAAATTTGAGTTTGATACATTAATCGTTTTATTTTTTTTATTTTTGTATAAGCGTTTTTAAATCAGATTTTAACGAGAATCGTATAAATGTGTCGTCATTTCAAAATATGTCTTACCGAACACCGCTCAGTTTTTCGTTAGCACTTAGCAATGGTTTATTTTCGCGCACAGATATAAATGGAAATAACTTTATGTATCCAACCTTCCCAGCTTCTTATCAACAACGGTGGTTACATCTGTCCTCAGAATCAGCTTTTTTTTTGAAAAGTATCTAAAACTACGAGCACGAAAAAAAATAAATTGAGTTTTTTTTTTTGTTATTTTCTCATTAGATAAGTTTTATTATGTTTACACAATATTATTATGGTAATACGCCAACTCAAGTGACACGGTATCTTACTTCTGTCGAATTAATAGAGTTTTCTCTGTGTACCAATTAGGTAGATAGATAAATATGTAGATTCTATTATATAGCATTGTTTTTTAATATTCCGGTTCGATAAAAGTAATTATATCTGCATAAAACCAAATAAAACTAAACAAATCGGAAAATGTAAAATGCCTATCGAATCACAATAATGTTTTAAACATTTTATACCACTTCTAAAAAAGGCCAATATACCACAAGGTGTCCCATGATGATAATATTCCCATTATACATCTGGAGATAATAAAGATAATTAAATTCTGTTTTTTATATTACTCACAGGGATAAGGACTACAAATATTAATATTGTAATTTATTTTTTAAGTTTTGATAGAAAAATAAAAAAAATAACTGTTTATTTTATAATTTCTGAAAAATTTAACATATGAACTTTTTATTTTCATTAAATTCGTGATTTTTAATAATTTTTCAAAGTTCAGAGAAAAATATCCATAATTATGCGCTAGGCTCTAATCGCATTCGCTAATTAATTATTATTATTACGACTAATTGACTTCTTAAATACACTTCTTTTTTTTGAAATTTTAAAAACGATTAAAAATCACGAATTTAATGAAAATAAAAAGTTGATACGTCAAATCTTTTAGAATAATAAGCTCTATACAATGGCTATCTTCAAATTTTTCAATAGTAATAAAATAAAAAGTTATTTTTTAAGTTTTTTTTTATTAAAACCTAAAAAATATTTGTAGTCCTTATCCCAATGAATTATATATATATATAAAAAAAACTGAATTTGATTATCTTCATTATCTACTGAGATATTACAATGGGTATTTCTTCGTGGGACACTCTGTATGGGTATTCGATAAATATTTCAGAAGTTACATTGCACGATTACATTAAACCGAACTACAAACAAATCGAAAATTAAAAGATCGTATTTTACATTTTGACCAGAATTTTTCCGTTTTTCCCGATTACAAAGAAAACTATACGAAATTACGAAAAAAAAAAAAAAAAAAAAAAAAAATGAACTACTCAATACGGTACTAGATGACATTGTCTATCTGAAATCACCGCCGAAGTCGACGATCGGAAGAACGAGGTTCATGTAGACAGAAAGAAAATACGCACACGTGCGTACAGTAAAACCAATGCATTCCTCGCTGCGCTCAGAATCTAACATAAAATGCATATCACGTGAACTCGTACTATATTCGGTTTTAGGCGCACTTCGGACCGTATTCCACGCTATAGAACACAATACTCGCTGTATACAACAGCGCTGTAACAGTCCGTATACCGGCATACCTATTGGTTTTTAGCTGAAAGTCATCACTCGAAAAAAAAAAATAAAAATAAAAAAAACATACCTGATATTTATGTGACTGGCCGAAAAACGCGTGTGTAACACTATGATATAATATTATTATGTATACGTCGATCGAACTGCGTAGATTACGGTTATCGTGTGTTTGATTTCGATATTATTCGTAAAGAAAATTTCCGTTCGGTTTGTTTACTTTTTTAACCTTAATCGTGTCTGTTGATCGCGGCGAAATAAATGGCGACGGAAGAACAGTTCGAGACCGCGAGTTTACACAGCCAGCTAATGGCCGAAGTCATCCGGGGTTATTTGAGTATAATTTTCGCGTCTAACACCGACCGTGTACGCCGGCTACCCAGAAAAACGTCGTAAATTGTTTTGTTTTTCGTGTCAGTAAATAACTTTTCCACTGGAAATTTTGTTCCAGTCAAAAACTTTACGGGAAATTTCTCGTAGCATTTTTTCTTTCTCTGGCTGACGCTATGCGGCGGTCATTATTTCGATTTTCCCTGTGGCTTTCATGTCACAATTTTGCCATATTGTCGACTTCCCGTGTTTCGCTGGTTAGCCGACGATACAGTAGTCGTGATACGGGCGTGCGCGGACTTCGTCTGCAGGTGAAATGCAATTAGAAAAATAGAGCCCCGAAATACAATTGGGTTCCCTCACAACAGTATGGTTGAAAACGATTTTGAATGTTTAATGTGAGTATGTATCTACATTAAATTATTGAATTGAACAATTTTTGGACCCCGACACGAAGCTACATACAGTGCGGCAGCACACCCCGTACTCCGTGCGCACGCCTATATTGTTTTTCGCTATAAACGTTGATAATATTACATTGTATTCTTTGGCCCCAGAGAAGAATGGCTTGTCAATTTTTATTTTTATTGTTTTCATGATTTGTTCGACATTTTCAAAATTGAATTTGTTTATATTGAAAACTATATACCACGACATTGACTTCTTCCCTGGGACCAACATTATTAGGTATATTTATACCTATATATATATAACATCATATAGGCATTCCTTTGAGAAAAACCATCGTGGTGCCGAGAATGCCCAGTGAAGTCTCGAACGAATTGTTGTTCATATTAAAAAGACGCATTTTATTCGAACTGTCGAGTTCGAGCGACGAAAGTTTATGCAGTCAAAACATGGCCGACTGGACAATATGAACGGCATACATATTATGATTATGAAAACGTTCATATTTGGATGATGAAATAACGTGGTGTATTTTTAACAATAAATAGCCAACTATAT